AAACACCATAAAGACTGAATATCAACAATAAAGACTAAATATTGACAACTAATATTGACACCTAATATTTACACAAATATTAATAAATCCAACACATATTATCAACAAAAAGTTTCTGTTACAAAAAAACCACGTTAAATCACCACTAAACTTAAACGTTTAAGTTGATAGGGATTACGACAAATTTAATAATTTATTTCTACTTTAACACTTACATATATGCAATCTGCTCTTCCATAATATTGGAAATAATTTATAAAAATAATCTTGCATGATATTATACACTAATTCTTAGTTTTATTTTTCCCTCAAAAAAAATAAAAAATAAAAAATTCTTAGTTTTATTTTTATACTCTGGCACATGACTTATGGAACTTGAATACTGATAACCCAAGTATTGGAAGTTTAATTTTTTGTTAGCATGTATTTGGCCACTTAGTGACGTGCAAGCAATTAGCTGTACTTGTTGCAAAAACAGTATAAGTAATAAATACATCCTTATCTTTGTACTTCTGACCAAACTTCATCAATTGCAGTTAAACGGTTTTATTTTGAATAGCATCCCAGTATTTGTAACTGTAATTTCCTTTGGAGTATTCACGTTGCTTGGTGGAGACCTGACGCCTGCAAGGGCCTTTACATCACTTTCCCTGTTTGCGGTGCTTCGATTTCCTCTAAACATGCTTCCTAATTTATTAAGTCAGGTACTCATAGTCTTTTCTATTGCACTTGTATTTTCCTGTTTTCTTTTGACGATTACATATTTCTTATGGACCTTAACAGAAAGCTTGCTTTAGAATTTCGTGAGAATTTTCCTGTTTTCTTTTCATCTTCTCACGAACTGAAGGGGGCTGCCTCTTTTCTTCAAAGATCGTGAGAATTTTATATAATTTAACCAAGAATATATTTGAGATTAAATATGCTTATCTTTTTTTTATTTTTTTGATAATCAGTTGGAACTTTTCTCACCTATACCTGTGGGCATCCGCAGCTGAGATTAAATATGCTTATCTATTAGCTTAAATAGTTCTGGGTATAATGGTAGTCTAATATAGCCAAAGAACTTTCTTTTTTTTAAGATTTCGATCACATAAGAGTTGCTTTGCAGCTTTCTTACTACCGAGAGGTGACATACTAAAAATTTGCAGCCTCTCATTTCAGCAAACACCAATAAAGGTACGATTGAAAATGAGCAAAGGGCACTCACTAATTAGATCAAAGGGCCATAATAGAAAACTTCTTTGGATTTGGAGGCAGTGTTGAGACCATCTCGTACCAGGAGTTTCAAAAAAAAAAAAAAAAATTAATCTCAAACCGTAAGCTTCCACATTTCTTTAGCAAGATTTTGCTCCAGTGTAGGATTAGCCATGGAAAAAGAAGGATATAGCTCATCTACAACAGAAAATTCTTGAAGGTTCTGAGGACCAAAACCACTTAAATGAAGATTATGGTTCAAATGAATTTATAACAACATAAAAAGAAGGGTAATCGACTCATCTACTAGTCCATCAAGTCTCTTAGAAAGTGGAAATCCCCATTTAGGTTCTCTTCTTTCCAAGAACATTTAACAGATTAAAAAATATATTTTAATTAACCACCTGATGAAGATTGGGGACTTGTACTAAAGGGCGCAATCAACTTAGAACAAGATATATGGCCAAAAATGTGAAAGATTGGTTTCTCTCTGGCTTTTGGTATCACGACTTTAGGGACAATGCTAAAGTTTTGTGGGAAGAGCTTTAGTGCAGTCATTTTAGAATTAAGGGTTGAGAGAAATAGAAGATACCCACTGAAATTTTGATCAACTGCGGGAAGTGATGTCTCTGTCTCTTTTTCATAGCATCTTTGGTCTGTGTTACTTTTTTGTAGTCATCCTCTCAATGCTCGTGTCTTGATTGGAGACCCTTTTCCAAAGCATTTTTCTGTATTTATATATATATAAAAGAAGAATATTTTCCTATTCACTTTATAATTCTACTCTAATGATACAGGTTGTGAATGCACATGTATCATTACAGCGTATTGAGGAACTATTCTTGATTGAAGAGAGAGTTCTTGCCCCAAATCCACCGTTGGAACCTGGGCTTCCAGCAATATCCATAAGAAATGGATGCTTTTCATGGGATTCCAAGGTTTTTTATTGGTAGTTTTTATATCTCTGTATGCATGGTTTTTGTCAGGTGTTTGTTTCTACTTCAATACACGGGTCTATGACTGCGCATTTGTATGCAATTTGAATTAGACATGCTGGTAAACAGATGGATGTGACAACTTTTCAAGGCCCGCTTCTTTCTCTAAAAAAGTGTGTTTTTCAATGCTCTTTGTGCAGTTTCTGGAAAAATGTTAGCTCTTGTACTTAGGATAAAGATGACATTCGATAGTATCTTGTTTTCAAGATTATGTATTTCAATATTTCCAAGAGTTTATGGGTTTTTTAATTAAATAGCTTGAATTAGACTGTAAATTGGTTCAGAGTGTACTTCCTAGCATCTTTATGGGTCTCATTGACTAAATAGTTTCAAGATTGCTCTTTGTTTTTCATTTTTGCAAAATTGGGTATCTTCTTGTGCTCTATAATCTTTTTGTACATGGACTTATAGTCCTATGATTTTGTATGTCCTTTTTATGATTAACAAAATTCTCATCTCTAATCTTCTTCTATGCAGTTCTGAGGTTGTCATCTGAGAACACTTAATACAATTAATTATTTTTCCAGATATGATGTAGTGGCTGTCAACTGTAACCTTTTTGCAGGTAGAGAAGCCGACATTATTAAATGTCAATTTGGATATAGAAGTGGGCAGCTTAGTTGCAGTGGTTGGAGGTACTGGAGAAGGAAAAACATCACTAATATTGGCAATGCTAGGGGAACTGCCTCCTTTGGCAGACACAGACATTGTTATCAGAGGGACAGTTGCTTATGTTCCTCAGGTGTCGTGGATTTTCAATGCCACTGTGAGTCACA